GTTCTTGCTGGAGACACCCCCAAATCTCATCCTTTGTGATCATGCAAGATTTATGGAGGGGATCGAACGACATGGTGTAGGTTTTACCATGGGTGACATTATTATCACATGATTACATTTTTTTCCCACGTAAAACAGTAAAAGAAAAGGCCTCACTTTTGAATGTTAACATTTCTAAAAGTGAGTTTAATTTATAGAGTAAATTAACATGGTTATTATGAGACTTCACCCAAAAGATTGGGGTGAAATCTGAGAGACTTAAAACTTCCCCAAGAGCTTTCCTTACAAGCGGTGCTCACTGAGATGGCTAATCCCAGGAGATGGTGGGTGCTGGGCAAGAAGAGGGAGCATTTTCTGCTGCTTCAGGCAGTATTTCTTTTAGAGCAAAGCCAGTCCATTTTGACCCAGTGCACTCTAGAGGCAAATAGCTGGAGGTTGTCCAGATAAAATGCCATATAGGTATGGGATATATATATCTCCTAGTTGAAGTAATGTCTGCTGGAGTGTGGTTGGTAGGGCAATAATATGGGTGTGATAATTTATATTTTTAATTTGAACATTTCTCCTAAAATGTCATATGGTGTGCTTGGGTGTGATATTGTTATGTTACAGAATTACGTGCTTATGATTTTATAAGATAATAAAAGATTTTGTAATAAAAAGGGACATTATTTGTGCTTTGTGTATATACATTTATTGAGGTGGCATTGATTAATAAAAATTATATAGGTTTCAGATATGCAATTCTGCAATACACCATCTGTGTATTGTATTGCGTGTTTACCACTCAAAGTTAAGTCTCCGTCCATCACTGCTAATCCCTCGTTTACCTTTTTTACCTCCCCCCACACCCTTCCCTCTGGCAATGGCCATATTGTTGTCTGCATCTGAGTCTTTCTTTTGCCAAACAACGTTTTATTAATTTCAAGTGTACAACACGGTGATTTGACATTTATATAACTTAGGAAATGATCACCACAAGGAGTCTAGTACGCATCTGATACCATGCATCATTATTACAGTATTATTGACTTTATTCCCTGTGCTGCAGTTTATATCCCAGTGACTACATTTATAACGGGCAATTACTGTTTTTTCATTCTTTAGTTTTCCTTATGAACAAAGCTGCCCATGTTCTGTTCTATTACAAGTCCTGCCGTATGTGAGCTTCTCCAACGGGAAGACACTTGGTCTGTTTTGGGCCTTTGAATGGCTGAGTGATGGAGGAGAAGGTGCAATGAATTTAGACTTTAAGAAAGGAGAATTTCATAGAATCATGCATCTTGTGCTTCTCATGAGTACACAGTCAAGCAGGATTTGCAGGTAGTTGATTAATTGTTGCAAATGTACTGTGAAATAATGATCTGTTAGAAGCACATGAAAAGATGCTCAACATTATTAGTCATCAGGGAAAGGCAAACTAAACCACAGTGTCAGTGTGATATTCTGTACACATGCCAGAGAGTCTAAGATTGAAAAGCTGACCACACCAGGCATTGGTGAGGATGGGGAGAAACTGGTGCTCTCATCTATTGCTGGTGAGAAGGTAAATGGAAGAGTCACTTCTGAAAACAGTTTGGCAGTTTCTTAACGACTTAATCATACACCTGCTGTATGACTGAACCATCATCCTCTTAAATACAGGGCGGGGCAAAAGGAGGTTTACAGTTGTGAGTATGTGAAACAGTTTAATCTTATATTATTATGTATTAATGATTGTATTTTTAAATTTTTAAAAATATATTTTATTGGTTATGTTATTACAGTTGTCACATTTATTTCTTCCCTTTATTTCCCTCCACCCTGTACCCCACTCCCATCAGCATTCCTCCACCTTTGTTCATGTCCATATAAGTTCTCTGGCTTCTCCATTTCCCATACTATTCTTAACCTCCCCCTGTCTATTTTGTACCTACCATTTATGTTTTTATGCCTTGTACCTTTTTCCCCTTTCTCCCCCTCCCCGCTGATAAGCCTCCATGTGATCTCTATTTATGTGAATCTGTTCCTGTTCTAGTTGTTTGCTTAGTTCATTTTTGTTTTTGTTTTTGTTTTTTTTTTAAGTTCTGTGGTTGACAGTTGTAAGTTTGTTGTCATTCTACTGTTCATATTTTTTGTCATCTTCTTTTTCTTAGAGAAGCCCCTTTAATGTTTCATATAATAAGAGCTTGGTAATGAATTCCTTTAATTTGAACTTATCTGGGAAGCACAGTGCTGGGAAGCACTGTCCTTACATTCTAAATGATAGATTTGCTGGATAGAGTAATCTTGGATGTAGGTCCTTGCCTTTCATGACTTTGAATACTTATTGCCTGCCCCTTCTTGCCTATAAGGTTTCTTTTGAGAAATCAGCTGATAGTCTAATGGGAACTCCTTTGTAGGTAACTCACCTTTTCTCTTGCTGCTCTTAAGATTCTCTCCTTATCTTTCATCTTTGGTAATTTAATGATGATGTCCCTTGGTGTGTTCCTCCTTGGGTCCAACTTCTTTGGGTCTCTCTGAGCTTCCTGGACTTTCTGGAAGTCTATTTCCTTGGCCAGATTGGGGAAGTTCATTATGTTTTCAAACAAGTTTTCATTTTCTTGCTCTCCTTCTGGCACCCCTATGATTCAGATGTTGGAGCATTTAAAGTTGTCCTGGAGGTTCCTAAGCCTCTCCTCATTTTTTTGAATTCTTGTTTTTTTCATTCTGTTCTGGTTGAATGTTTATTTCTTCCTTCTAGTCCAAGCCATTGATTTGAGTCCCAGTTTCTTTCCCTTTACTGCTGGTTCCCTGTACATTTTTCCTGTATTTTGCTTTTCATAGCCTTCACTTTTTCCTCTATTTTGTGACCATACTCAACCATTTTTGTCAGCATCCTGATTGCCAGTGTTTTGAACTGTGCATTTTTTAGGTTGGCTATCTCTTTGTCACATAGTTGTATTTTTTTCTGGAGCTTTGATCTGTTCTTTCATTTGGGCCATATTTCTTTGTCTCAGCACACCTGTTTTGCAGTAAGGTGCAGATCCTTAGGTATTCACCAGGGTGGTGCAACCCACATCGATACATTTTGGCACTTTCTGTGTGTGTGGGGGGGGCGAGTGTCTGAGAGGGAACAATGCTCTCTGCTGGCTTTCAGACACTTCCTCCACTGCCCACAAGCAAATTGGACCCTTCTGGTGCTTATTCCCGGGTGGTTGATTTTGTGTATGTTCTAGGACCCTGTGGATCTCTCTAACCAACTCTACTATGACTCTACTCTCCCGCTCCCGCCTCAGTCCCCACAGGTTTTTTCAATGAGAGGTTTTGAGGCTTTATTTCCCTGCACTGGAACTGTGAGTTGCACGATCTGTCTCCCTCCCCAGTTGTTCCTCCTGGTTTATCCACATACAGATGTGGGTCTGCCGCTTTGCCAGCTACCACCTTGCTGGCCCAGGACCTCCAGCCGCCACCTTGCTGTGAGTCCTCTCCACACTGGCCACCCATCTCCACCCTTCCTACCAGTCTGAATGAATGTTTCTTCTTTAACTCCTTGGTTGTTGGACTTCCATACAGTTCGATTTTCTGGCAGTTATGGTTAGTTTTTGTTTTTAAATTTGTTGTTGTCCTTCTTTTGGTTGTGTGAAGAGGCAAAATGTATCTACCTACACCTCCATCTTGGCCAGAAGTCCTGTGCACTCTGATTGTATTCTTTTCCATACAAACAACTGTACACCTTTTTTCCTACCCTGTATTTACTAAGAGACATGAAAACACATCCATATAAAAAGTTGTACATAGATTACTCATAGCAGCTTCATTTCTAACAACCCAAAACTGGAAACAACCCAAATGTCCAATGAGAAGATAAGCAAATTGTGATCATTCACTGCTGAGTAGCAATTGGAATGCCACTCCGTCAACTATTGAAAAGAGTCAACTATTCACACGTGCAACAACATGGCCAAGTCTCAAAATAATTTTGCTAAGTTAAAGAAGTCAGATAAAAAAGTTAAAGACTCTTAGGAATTGAATTAATATGATAAGAGTGAAAATACAGGACAGAGAAGAAAACTTTAGCATTACTTCAAAACTAGAATTGATAGGCTTGATTATGGGAAAAGGGCTAGAGGGGTGCAAACTGAGGTATATGGTCTCTCATATACCTTTATGGTATATGATATATGCCATAGATAGTATATGGTATATATGGTACACCATATATACCAGTTTATGGTATATATGTTTGTCTAGTGGAACCTCACCTATTTATCAGTGAGGATTACAAAAAAGATGGCTCTTAAGTACACAAGAAATGATGAGCTGATCATTTAATACTGACCCAGTGATAGCTCTAAGATGCCCCAAAGGAAACATCCAGGCTGCAAACTATTGATACTCGATTGTTTATAGAAAATAAACTTATAATTTGTCTTCTTAGTGAAAACAAGTGTAGATAGCCAATAAAAGTATAATATTAGGGAGAGAAAATGAAGACAAGGACACAGAGAAATGGGATTCCTAGAGCCAGTCTCATGGACAAGGGAGAATACAGGGTTGAAGGCAGACAGAGTGGGGAAGGAAATAGACTGTATGGGATATCTCAGGGGAAAAGGACAGGGAACTGATTCAGAGAGCAGCCAACTTTATGGGCATTTTGTTCATTTAATGCCTTGGATTTATTTGGTCTTGTGATCCAATGTGTAAAATTAGTTGTGTATATAAGAGGCAGTGTCAGCTGTGCTCAATGGCATAGCTTTTGGAGTTTATAGTCCCCTCTCTGACCTTAACCGCTATGTAAACTCTCTGAGCATCTGTTTCCTTATCTGTAACATGGTATCTTCATCAGTTCCTACGTCTTAGAATTGTTGTATTAATAAGAGATGAAAGGAAATTGTGCACAAGAAGCACTTGCCATTGCTTCTAACCCATAGTAAGTGCTCATAGAAAATAGATCCTACCGGTTCAAATCCCTGGTTGCGTTCCTTTCACCGGTAATGACTACTTTCAAAGTCAGCAGGGTTTTTCTTGTCTTGTTTCAGGATTTGTGGATTTGACCCTCCATGATCAGGTCCACCTTTTGGAATGTGCCTGGCTAGAGATCCTGATGATTGGTCTCATCTGGCGCTCCGTGGAGCACCCAGGGAAGCTCCTATTTGCTCCTAACTTGCTCTTGGACAGGTGAGTGCCTGGCTGTAGCTTGGGGGAAGCACATCCTTTACAGCCCCCTGATTATTCCTGAAGCTCTTTCACCCAGTGTTCCATGAAGCTTCCACAAATGTTATCAGGTGTGTTGACTCTATGAATGGGTGAATTTGGGTGATGGAGACCAGGGCAGTTCACAGAAGACTATGAATAACTTTCTGCTAGGCATCTTCTCAGATCAGCTCTATTATTCCTAAAATATATGTGTATATGCATTTGTATGCTTATACAGTGTCCAGTATTGCCATGGGAAAATACTGGGGACCTGTTTTTTATGTATATGCATATATACACGTATATGTGTGTGTATTTGTAAAACTATGAACTATAACTTGCTAATTCTACCTACCTTCATCTTGTGTCATGTAAAAGAAATGAAGACTCACTTTTCTTTAGAATATATTTTTGGCCCTTCCCTCCCCTCCCCTCCCACCCCTCTCTTCCTCTTCTCTTCCCTTGCCTCCTCTCCTTTCTCTTGTCGTTTTTCCTTCTACCTTTCCCCCCCTGTGTTTTCCCCTTTTCTTCTCTTTTCACAAGTCTCCTCTTCCTCCTGCTTCTTCTTCTAATTCTTTTTCTTGTGTTAAGTAGTGTAGTTCTGTGATCGAGTTATAACAAATCTGCAGATGAAAATCTTATTCCACATGCATGTTTCCCTGCTATGAATTGGAACGTGTCTTCAGTGTTCAGGTTTTGGGGGAAAATGACTTACCACCTCATTTGTATCCATCTTCCCGGGTGCACGGTTTCTGAGAACAGTCATTTAGTCACTGCACTTGAAATATGACAGGGTTTGTGACATGAACTCAGTTGGCCAGTGAGGTGATATTGCCTAGGATTTCATCAGCTGCTGGCTTCTCTTTCCTATAAACTCTTACTGTGGTTAATTTTCTCCCATCTACCTCATTGCAGTATGAGTGAGTAAAAGGTCCCATCTCTGCCTATTGTTGCTTTCTAGAACTCCAGATTTAAAGTTCCTACTTCCTCTAGACTAGGATTGCTCAACCTCCACACTATTGGCATTGTCAGTTGACCCATTCTTTCTTGTGGGTGACGGTCCTGCACATTTAGGATGTGTAGCAGCATTTCCCACCTTCTAGATGCCCACAGCATCCCTCCTCCCCAGTGATGACAGCCCAAAGTGTCTCCAGACATTCCTAAATGTCCCCACCCCCTGCCCCGCAGTGTGTGCTGGGAGGGAAGGTGCTAAACTGTCCCTGGTGGAGAACAGCTGCTCTAGACTCACTGTGTCCCTCACTGATACACTATCTTCCTTAGCAAGGTTGTTCCTTTTCTTTCTTCTCTCCTCTTCCAGCAGAAGGTTGCCTCTCCCTTGTCTAAGTTCTCAGTGTGTTTGGTTTGTACTTCCCTTAGCCTCCTTCTGCCACAGGTGAGTTATAATTGTATGTCTTATCTGCCTTATCAGCTCGTAAACTTCTTGTGGGCCAGGTCGGATCTTTTTCTTACCTTCAGTGTAGAAAGTCTCCTGTGATTCCCAGTATGTGTTTGCTAATTACACTGGCCACGGTCCCCAGGTGGTTTCCGGCAGTCGGGAGAATATGCACGTATTCTGATTAGTCATTTCAGCTGTTCTTGTCAATGGACCTGCTCTCTTCTTGTTGATTGCTACTCATCAATTCCTGGCTTAGTCCTTTACAGAATTTGCAGACATTAATATCCATCTGTTTTGGGAGGATTTTTTAAGTTACTAAATGCATTTGGCTTATTCTTATACTTCTGTTATGCAACTTTTAAATTCCAAACAGGGATATCCAAAGAATCATACTTTTCCCTGTACACCTAGACACACCCTTGAGAGTAAAGTCCTGAAGATCATAATACATTTCCATATGCTTAGGTACATGTTAATAATTAGAGAAGTACATAAGTAAATGCAAATTTTGCAGTAAAAATATAAAAAATAAAATATGATCTATAATATAAAATTTTCTATACTTTTAAAATTATTAATATGCACATAAATATTATGAAATTTTAGTATTATTAAATTACCCTCTTCATGTTAGAGGCTAAGTGCTTTGGATGACATAGATATATGCATATAATAAAAAATTTTACGACCAGCAGTCCATTTGAAATTTTATACTTCTGGAGGATGACTTTTGAGTGGTAGCTGAGAACATTGTTTCTGTCTTTGCCTGGCAAGCTTCCAACCTCTTTGATAACATTGAACTCTGATTAGCATAAGCCCTCCTGATCTCCCTCTCTTCTCTGTTGCTTTTCCTCATCATATAATAAATACAAAGTAAACATTTTTGTAACAAAATGTAGAAATTCCTATGTTTCACAGCTAAGTGTTTGAGAATGGGATAGCAGAAGACAAGTGTTAGCTTTATCCTTCTTATTTTATCTCAGGCTTGGTGACACTACCTTTGAAAAGTCAGCCACCTCCACAGGCTGTTTGCATCTGCGTAGACACACGGAAAAGAGAAATGCAAAAGTCAAATAGTCCTGTCACCCGTGCATTACTGATATTGCCAACTACAGTCAGGGCTTTATCTGTGACTAATTATAATGATGTCCTGTTCTCACAGACCTGCGCAAACCCAGGCATTTGTGCCATCCAAAGCAATCAGAAGGATAGAATTTACCCCAGTCTTGCAGTTACTCAAATGTTAGTATTGGCAAGTGGGGTTTCGTGATTATAGGAACAGAAAACCCTACTGGGTTGCCACCCCACATTTGTGAGCAGAGGACGTATTTTCTATCTTGAGTCCATTTGAAAAGATTTATTGCTTGATTTACTCCCTGATGACAACCCATGATATCTTGATTCTGGTAGCTTATAACTTTCCTGGTGGTCATATGCTTGAAAGCTAATTTTATTCTTGCCATGCTTAGTCGACCCACGGTTTCCAGTTCTTCCCTGTACCCTGCAGAGGTGAGTCCCAAGCACTTCATGCAGTCATCTCTTCCCGTGAAAACCAAGAAATAAAGATTATTATAAAGTATAAATAAAGAACGCAATAACTTCTCTTAATAAGTTTGTGTGTGTGTGTGGTGTGTGTGTGTGTGTTTTACGAGAGGAAAGTTACAGATAATAAGAAGGCCTGTGAAAGTAATCAGGAAGTGGAGGAAACTCCTTTTTCATTTTAGCACCTAATCCTTGGGTGTGTTTTGGCTACAGAAAACACAAAATCCGCCCTCTGTGTTGACTCCGAATGTACCTCTTTGTTCAGTCCTGCTTGAGGGCTCCTGCTGGAAAAATATAGAGGGAAACCAGAAGCAAACATGTTCAACTTAGATCGTTCCTTGTGGGGTCTCTGTTTTTGCAGGAACAAAGTTTGCTATCGCTGGAAGGCAAATGCGATGTTAGGGGAAACAATGTAAATTGCCTGTTCAATGAGTCCGTCCAGTTTCTAAGGAACGAATTCTGTTTTGCAGGCACCATGCATGCTAACAAATTCTGAGAAATATTTGTGGATTTCTCAGGAAAGCCAAAGTACTCTCTTTTGACTCCCTTTCGCTTTCAGAGAAAAATAAAATGAAACAAAACAAAACTATTTATTCACTTGAAAAGCTTAATTGGACCAGCAGAATATTCCCACTACCTAGTTTGGCCAGAGGGTTGTTGATCTGGGGCTCGTCATCACTTGAGCACTGGGAGGCCCTGTCTGTGGGGAACAGAGTTGAGCAACAGAAAGTTCTCTTACTTGAAAGCATGGAAGGGGAATAAGCTTGCTCCCCTAAGAGAAAAACAGGTTGCCGCACTGAACAGGATATTTTGCCTCTTCTACCATATAGCAGGCTGTTTTCAGGTGATAAATTCATTTTATATTTAAAAGTCATTTTCCAGAAGACTGAGCATTCTCATTTTGGGTTATTTATTGTCAATATTTCAGGAAAAAAATCTGAGTAAACACTTAAAAATAACACAATGATTCCAGCAGGGCTTTTATTGACTTTTCATGTTTCATTGACTTTTTGTGTGTGTAAAACTTAATGTAAATTCCTTGCATATTTTTTTTTACTTGGAAGAGTTAAAAAAAAATTGAAAGTCAGCTGATGAAATCAGACTGTGGTCCATCCAAAGGTTTCTCAGACTTGGAGAGAAGGACCTCCTCCCTTTATAGCCCCTTTCCAGACTTTTTCCCTTTAAAAAATGTGTGCTGTGCCCAAAGGGGGCATCAGAGCAGCTGGGGGAGCAGGTGGATTGGGGGAGTGAATATCCCTTTACGCACTGCAGTTGCTTCAGTAGTATTGCTGGAGTCCATTCATAAGTTTCCAGAAGTGCTTTTGTACGCACCATTCGTATCTCAAGAGCCCTGCTCGTAACCTCTTCATTTTACCTTGCAGAATTGGATGGAGATAAAAGCAGGAAAGCCAAGATTTATTTAGCTTCTTTAATGCATACAGTATAATGCTGGGTCATCTTCTATACCTTCTAGATTTCATTAATTGCATGAGAATACAGGTAGCAAAGAGTGTTACTACTTTATATTCCATTGGTTGTTTCCAGTTCTGAGGCCTTAAGTTCTCAATGGTAGATGCCAGTTGATTGATCCTTAAAACTGTTTTGTTTAGTGTTCTGATGAATTTTGGGAATATGAAACTATAAACCATAGAGGAGAAAAATTGAAGCCAAAAGAAGGGAGAAATTAACCAAACTGTCATTATTATTGCTGCCTTTGAAAATAAATCAACATACCTATTGGACTAAAAACCAATTTATTACACACTTTCAATGGGTAAATTATGTATGTGTGCTATGTGGATCATATATCAATAAAGATATTACACAGAAAACATACATACAACCCCATCAATCATGAAAGCACTTGGATGAGTTCTATTGGAAAATGTGAAAAACAAGACATTTAAACCAAGGTTTCTCCTTAAAATCAAAAGCAGTTAGTAGCATTATTGTATAAAGTTTGCTAATCCACAAGCTCTAAAGCCCTCAAGAGGAATAAGCCTGTAAACAGTTAGGATCTATGCAATATAAAATCGCTCCAGAG